AGAGACACTGAGCGATATGGCTGGGTGTCGTAAACAGTGGCATTCGTGCATCTCCTCAATTTCTTCCAAACCTTAGTCCACTGAACTTCTCCATTTTCCTTTCGAATCCACTTTCAACTTTCCTTTCTTCTCCTATTCTTCATCCCAATGGGCAGCCAAAAGACAGCAACCAAAACCGGCGCACGAAAGTGCATGGTTAATGGTTGTTCAAACCGAAACTGAACGTGATGTGAAAATGTTCCAAACATGAGATAAACGTACGGGGTTCGAGCATATTTTCCTTTCCACAAATGGCAAGAGAATTAGTGCGCGTGGGAGCCCCGGGGATCAGGTGGCAGAGCAGATTTCTCACACCCATCTGATGTAAACAGCGAGCAATTTGCGAATTCAGACCGGTCGAACGATCGTTGTGCAAAAGACGATCATGATAGACCAACAAACGTCCCCAATCACCGAGAAGTTCATTTGTAGTTAACCTTTCATGCATGATGATCAACCAATGCGTTTCAGACCGATCGGCAGGGAAGACAAGGGGGCGGAAAAAGTAAACAAAATCACAGTAGCAAGAACGATACAGTGGTCAGAATACGAAGGTCCAAAAGCTATTGTAGTAGACTGAAATAAACATGTATATCTTCAGCTTTAACACAAAAAAGGGCAAATAAACGGCGAAAGCTTTGGAGTTGATTGTTCACGAGAAAAATAAAAGCAAACAGTAAAAATAGTCAGTGAAAAAGAAAAAAAACACCGTAGTCATGAGCGAAAAATGAACAATGTTGAGTTCCAGTTACGAATGGGAATAGAGGGTATGACGAAAGAACACTCACTTGGCTTCATCCAACATAGAGAGCGGTCTAACCGTTTGCCCTGTCGCAGCTTTATCCGGTAGTAGGAATTCCATTTGCGCGGCTTGCAAACCCGGCAGATCACCAGATAAACGACACAACCCGAGCCAAACCTCTTGCGCCTCTATGGTATCCGAGAGCCAGTTAGAAGGACAACCCCTGGATGAAGCGAGAAGTATCGTTGTTATGAGATGAACGTCACGAGGAACACTCATCGGTATTCCAATGATGTATTCATGATTTTACGTATATATAAAGTGGCTAATGCATAACAACATATGGAAAATAAATATAGAAAAGGTTTGAATGAGCATCAGCGAATAAAAGTTTCTCAACAGGTACACCACTGACGCCAGTTTCGAGTCGTTCCGGCTGGTGTCCAGAGCCATAGATATTCGTCATCCTTGGGATCTCAACGTGGGAGCGTTGAGCGTCCTACAACTGCCAGTTTTGAGGTCAACGCTTTTATCAACTGGGCCCAGGTTATTTGTCGTTCACATATTCACCGTTTCCAGCTAGTGTTGGATTGCGCAAACAATACGACGGGGCGGTCGTTGGACTAGCACATTCGCAGCACATTCCCTAACCATTGAAGTCTTTAGAGCGAAATGGTGACACTTAGAGGACGACTGAGACCGTATGAAGCGAAGATTCTTTAGCGATAATCGTCGTTAGTGATTTGCTGTAGTCAACGTACTCCGGCGATGCGACGAAGGCAACGGTGGTCAAAACATTCAGTCTCCTTACGTATTCTGTGTGAACGTGTCAACCACATGTATGGTAGCATTGCACACTTAGCTCTTTCAAGGAAAGACTGGGACCGCGTTGAAGCCACAAGTGAGGTAGGTGAGGTAACGCCGCGCGGGTCTTGTGGATATGCACTGACATTTTCTGTCTGTCCTCTTGAGTTGAAACAACTCCCATAATAGGCAAAGTGATCGACCATTTTCAACTGACCGGCCACCAACTTTAGTACGTTGCCTCTAAGACATTTTGGAAGAGATATTGATATAAAGATATATATATATCAACAGATTATCCTGATTCGTGTTAAAGGGAATTATTTCGAGATGCATCAAACTCAAAGACCCACTGCGAAGATCAACTTAGGTGTCTAGTGCCCACGAGAATTGGATGGGCTAATCAAAAAAGGGTTTGCCTTAACTTCTGTCTCAAGCTAATAAAGCCACCTTTTGCTTTCAGGTGACTAACTCCTATGCGACGATAAGTCTGTCCCACACGTGTGAAATTCCTCAAGAACGGTAGGAATAAGCAGGGACTTTGGTGACACGTCAGTTTCTATGAGAATGGACTTCGTGCACAGTCAAGAGCTATCAGTAGGATAATAGGGTCATGTTAATGGCTTTATCCTAGCACTACGCACACACACCAGGATGCCTTTTATGAATCATCGTCCGCAGTTTGTCGTCGGACCTTGTCGCTGATCGTCCAGAAACACTTATTTTCAGTGAATGAATATTCAACCGCCTAAGGTTAGTCGTCGGAGTGGAAGTACATCGCTTGTATTCCGCTCAGTTGATAATGAACCCACCGAAGCAGACAGTCACTGCCACGGATATGAAATACACAACGTATTTTTGAAGTTTTATATTTACACATTAATTGTCAACAGTATAAATGTTATGTAATTTAGGCTTCTTGCACCAGTTTTATTGAATCAGAAGACGATTTATTTGTTGTCATACCTATACTAAGGCAGCAGTATATAGGAGTTAACATTTGCAGAATCACAGTTTAGGTTTCCGGTCTCCACAACGGAACAGCAGATACAACTTAGCGATTCTGCTGTCTGTCACGCGATAGTGCATAAAATGTACACCAGTTCCAGAATGACCTCGAGACTTGAACAACTGATCTCCGAGAGCATCCAGCAAAAGAAAAAAAATGGATTTTTTTAGAGTATTCATGCTACATTCTATACTTACCCATGGAGCCAAGCCAATTCAAAACACAGCCGAGCGTCATGTAGTCGCCGGAGGGAAATGGCACATTGAGCAGCCTGAAGCCAGTTGACTGGAATCTCCGCCGACGCGGTATTTTTTGATCTGGGCGCGAACAAATGAAAGATTAACCACGTTACTCGAATAAGAACCGTATTTGTAACTGGGGTAAATAGAATGCTTGAACTAACTCACCGCTGAAGGGTATTCCACTGCGACCAATAATGAAGTGCCATAAGTGAGTCAAGGAACAGGTGGTGAGTAGTCGGGCTAACGCGCTCATTGAGCATCCCATTTTGAATGCATCGCGTTAATGCCCGTGGAAGGGAAAAAGAACAATGACTTTTGGTCACATCCCTGGCAGTTACGGCGGTCACAAACAACCACGGAAATATGTTATAGCACAATTTGACCTAGAATAAGGAAGGAGAGGGAGAGAAATTAGAGCATGTCACAGATGGATTAACTATTGATCGAAAATCGAGGAAAAATAGTCACAAAATAGAGCAGCCATTATCGGAAATGAAAATAACGCGTCAGAGAATTGTGCGGATGTGCGAATGAGGTTGAAATTGTAGCTATGTTGCACATGAAACAACATATACTTCGTTCAAACTAAACCACATTCATAGGAATATGAATAAATATTCAAAGAACCCACATGAATCGAACAGTCTTGTGATACATGCCGCGCAAATGGTATAAAACAACGATTTCCAATAGAAAATAAGAGAAGGATATTCATATTTTTATTATTTGCAACGTTGATGATGCCAATTGAATGAATGAGCGCGGGAACTGAAAAAATATCAGGAATTAAAAAAAAAGAAATTCGCAAGTTATCATTATTATTACGGTATCAAACGAACTGTATACCAAACACGATATAAATTATCAAATCGGAAAACATGCGGAAAATGCAAAATACTGCCACATGAGTTGTAGTGTAACGCACGGTAAGTGTAGATCTGACAAAATCAAGTCAAGTAGTTGCTTTGTTTACTCCAAGGGGACGCGTTTTCAGTATTGTGCTCAATGAAATATTTCGCCATCAGTAGCCAGCATGATGCAATGAAATAGGTTATGATCNCGAATTAAGTTATACTCCCACAAAGCGCGATCAGGGGATCGTCCAAACGGATTTACGAACACCACTCTGCGTCGCTGAATACCGGGACCATTAAGTCACTCGCCTGTGCAATGATTTCACACCTTGGTAAAACAAATCATACTGTAAAGGTGCCCGAAAATTTCCACCCCTGTAGAAGGTTAATGGTCCATTATCACGACAGATTTGCTGTTCGACGCAGCAGAAGCGCTGAGGATTTGTATGCACCCCCCTCTGTGTTGCAAAACAAATTGTGAAGGTGCTTATTTATTGTAAATCCGCCAGGTCACCTAATGTAAATCACAGCTGATGAAATATTTTCTTACCGACCTGGTGTTTACTCCACCCCAACCGATTCCTCCTTTCAATCTTTAAAATATCACACAGCTAATTGTTTTCTCACCTCACTGATCTCCAGTAGAAAGACACGATAACTTCTAGTATCATTGAATAGATAAGCAACCAGGACACAATGGAATCCTGTGAAAATTTGGTACTTCAGAATATGGAAACGCATATTTTTAGGTGCACAGAGCAGAAATATTGAGTGTCAAAATTTGTCCACCAATAAAGCCGATTTACCGAATGAAATCACTTGGAGCAGAAAACAAAAGAAACATGAAATAACACCCATCACATTACCGATTGTCTTAAAAAATTGAGCCTCATACTTGTCCGTTACATTTGTAGTATTCATAATCAACTGGAAAACCAGTGATATTTTTTCATGGTAATCCCTACAACCTTAATAACTAGCACCTCTGTTTGTCAGCCCCATAGTAATGGAATCTGTCGTCTCTGACCGTGGTAGTTCTAACGCTTAAAATTTCATGATTTACCGAGAAACCCGCAAAAGCTTCAGTCTCTCCGAGGGTAGGCGACACTTTAATCTTACCTCAGGAAATAGCTTCATAGAGTGCGTCTACTAAATATCCTGATGAGGAAATGTTAGTCATGGCTCTCTCATGGCGAGTGTCCACCAAAATGACAAGGTGGAGGCAAATATATAGGGTTCTCGATGGGTCGATAAGCCACGAGCAGCTAGCTTATCTAAGGGAGCTAGAAAACTGTGATTCCATGCTTCCCAAGAAGAAGTGTATGAAGTTCGTTTAAGACATCCTGGTCTCGATGATCACCGACTCGATTGGGTGGGAAAGTATATATTGATCAACGTCACAATGGCATATGCTCTCATTGACTGAACACTGGTCCCCAATGGATCGCAGTCTTTATATACCAACTTGCTATCTTTGGCGATCAAATGGCGTTGGATGTGAATCACTAAGTAAGTTCTCCTGCTTAGATCTGGGTAACCTGGCAGTACTCAGTTGACGAGCAAATCATGGGTCTACTGCTTTGAAATAGACATTTTTGTATTGTGATTTGTTTATTAAACCGTAGAGACGTAGACAAGTGTAACATATGACACAGATAATACAGAGGAATCAGTGAACCAGAGAATAGTGGTATTAAAATGATGCATTCGAAGCTCTAAATTCATAGACGAATGTAACTCACAGATTTTTCGAGGGCCGGCCTTAAATACGAACAGATTGGACTCAGAACCACGGGTAAATTCATCCACCAAAGGATTAATTTCGACAGAGCTATCCCTTCGTCCGACTGAGAAACACAGTCAGATAGTAGCTGATTCCATTCAGCAATCAACTGGTCGTCTGATCGCATCGAGGCAATCTGGAACGGACGAAAAACAAGAACGGGTGTGTGTAATGAGATTTGCTATTCCGCGAAACCGACTGAAATGAAAGATTATGATAACCAACAGCTTCAATCGGAAAGGGAGGATGTTACTGTTCTACTTATGAGATCAAGAGCAAAGAGAAAGCTCTCTTTCACAGAAGATATCCTCGGGGTGAATTCGAATGGAAAATAAGGAATTAGGCGGTGATACGATTTATTTATGAGATTGCTTTCTGCAGTTGAACAGGTTTACATTACAGTCAGTGCGTAGCGCATGTAGTCATGATGTAATGAGTGAAGTTCCATGGGCAATCAGTGACCAAGGTACAAATCCCTTCGAGCCCAGAACTCAGTTGATAGTAGCACAATCGGACGCGGTGAGCATCAGAAACAGGTCATGATTATACATAAAGCAAACAGAGGGGAAGCAGGCTTACCCGTTGATGTGCAGAGTTGTGGTCCTGATCCGTGGGAGCAGAATCACATTTTTTATTGATCAACGTCAAATAAGGCCACAGGACACAATGAAGTGAAGTGTCACATACTAGGTCATCGTTCTTCGCCACGGCTGACAAGTATGTGCTGGTAACTAGTCCACAACGTTGAAAAGTGTTGTACAGGACTTGTGCGGACACCAAAGCTTCCGGTGAACTGCATGAGAACGAAAGAAAGGGAATACAGAATAATCATTAAAACTGAAATATACAAAATGGGTTGACTGCATTTCTTATCATAACGCTAGGATGCTTTCCTCAACGAATAGCTATGTAAGATATGAAACAGAGGTATTATTGCGGGAATGAGCATGGTTAATATTCCGAGAAAAGCTGTACAACTTAATCCATAGGGTTATCGGGATAAAAGGGCGATACTGTTTTCGAGACACTAAACACGGTAACTAGATGTGAAAGGCAAATAAAATGATCGGTTGCAGTATATCGTTAAGCTGACTTTGATCAAAATTATTTCATTCTTTTTCATTTCGTTCAAATACCAAGGTCAGAATCGTACTTCACTTATCTTGTCAGGGGACTTTGCTAAGTGCTCTCGTTGGCTGAAAAGAGAAGTCCATAGCATAAATTTTGTTCGGGATAATTTTTCTGCCTCTATTGCTGCTCACTGTAGAAAAAGTCACAATATTTACATACGTGATCGAACATTGCAATAAAACAATCACTTTGGACCGTTTCTTTACTAGCTCGTTTTACGTGTTATTATTTAGATAATCGGAAAGTACCTACATCGAGAGGAAATGTCCAGCTAGAACCATATTGCGAGTGGGTAAACACAAAGCGCCTGAGATCTCTCTCTTCCTCTAATGCATTTACAAACAAAAGCAATCGAAGAAGTGAAACTGACAGAAAAATTGTTGATCGATGTTTAAAAGTGAAATTTTGCATATTGCCGGGGATCTATATTTCAAAATTAATCATAACTAGTACAGAACAAATGATAAATCCAAATTGAAAGAGGTTGAATTGGTGTCTGGAGAGTCATAGAAGTTTGCATGTTCAACACCCATTTGGAAGATATTGTGAAAAATTAGAATGGCCAATTAAACGACAACATGAACCGATTCACACGATCAATGTGGTGTTCGAGAACGATTTCAGAACAAAGGGATCGCTTGTTTGTTGTGTTAGCGCAATTTTTGTAATCATCATAGCATTTTTAGACACGGGACTGAAATTGCGTCAGTGGACCTTATCTCTTATTCGTACATTCAGCGGTGTATCGGGATAACCGGACAAGTATGGTCCAGGTTGAGCGTAGAGTTGACGCTTTAATCTACTGAAGGAGACAAGAGCCAGATACCCACCGATTGGAGTGACTGCGGCATATTGCGCACACGTGCGGATCAAATTCGTCAACGAGCGACGTATGCTATAGAAAACAGTGGTTGAGGCGAGGGTATGAAAGCTTTAATCAACGGGTTTAGTCATGCGAGTCGAATAAAGTTCCCCAGCAGAGGTCTCGAGAACAGTCTAATGATAGGGGAAACCAGGCGAGATGCGTGAATCTCGTTAGCCATGGTGCTTAAGTATCTGCTCGCGTTTTCTTTTCCTACGGGATCGGTACATTTGATATTACATGGACTCTGCGTGACTTTGAGTGGTTAAAACTCGAGGGTATGGTGGAATAGCTTATCTCTATGCAAACCCAGAGATTGCGCAGTTAAATCTAACAGGCATCAACGCCGGGAAAAAACAATAAATATTCAAGNGAGGGGGGGGGGGAGACGACCAATCAAAGACTGGTGAACAATGAACGGGAAAGTCGAACAACGGTATTGACGTTCGAATACAAAACCAGAGTTTTGAACAGAACTAGACAGCGAAATTATGTCCCAATACATTTAGAACACCAAATAAACATGCAGTTAGAGCATATCTTTGATGGACTTACGTGCACCGGGCGGCTGATTGCGCTAGATGAATCAAACTTTGACAAATCCGAACAGTCTGGGGATCTAACTGTTCATGATGCGTACGATCCACATTGGCCTGCTGATGGACTGAGTGCACGTTCTGACCCGAGAAAACTAGACGTTGCAACGAGGCTAAACAAAGCAATCCTGCCTCATGGGTTAAGGGATCCACTAGCTCGAGGATAGTGGTATCAACTATGAGCTGGTGAGAATCCAAGGTCGGTTGAAGGAGTGCCTGTAGTTCACCGATTAGGAGTGATGCATTCGAGCCTAGGTTTTAGTGTCGAAAAGTTGGCAACAGGAGAAAAAGATGGATAATTGCGAAAAACGCTGGGAATGCGAGAATAGC